TACTGAGGTGCCAAGCCATGCAGACCCTTATAGGTGAGCATGAGGATTTCAAAGTCTACACGGAATTTGACCGGAAGCCAGTGCAAGGACTCCAGGATAGGAGTAATGTGATCATTTGCACTAGACCTGGTCACTAAACCCTTTCCTACTTATATTTACATCTTAAATATTTCAATCAAGAGGGAAAGTGTTATATGTGACTAACGTTATTATATTGAAGATATATATTTCATATATTGTAGTTCCAACACGGCAACGTCATGATATTGTAATGTCGTGGGATTTTAAAGTTTCGTTTGACAGACGAAAGAGGTGTAAAGAAATGTATAAGTGCCAATCCACGTTGTTCAGGGAAGCGGAGAGATCAAATAAAACCTCAAATAAAACATGCAAATAAACATCATTGTATTTTGTTATTTACACCCCAGTATATTACCCAGAGTAAATTCATAAATGACCAGTCCGTTTTCCAGCTCTATAACGTCCTGCTTATTGACTGAGGAGTGAAAATGTTATTGAAAACCATAGTCTTGGCTCTCCTGTTCCAGGAGGTGGATCAGTACTCCTTGTTCTGCGGTCGTTATTAGAGCCATGCAGGGTGAGCCGAGTTCTGCTCCACTGAACCACTGCGTTGCAACTTTTTTCCTTATTTAACGTGGTAGCCGGGACACGGAGGTAGGGACTGTTCCGATCTTACCGCTGAGGAAAATCTCTGGTACGGTACAGGGAGTCTCGGAGCCGTTTGTCGTCATTGCAGGCATTTTGTGTTTTATCAGATACAAATAACAATAATTATCAAAAAAAATAACGAATGTAAAAGGGTCATGTTTATATGTTGGTCTCGTGAATTTAAATGCATCGTAAACAAAAATAAAACGGTAAAAAAATCTCAACTAAATGATCTACACGTAGTTTATTAAATGGACGCCATCCAAAACCATATCAAGATTAAAATTCGTATTACCCTTTGGAAGCATTACTGTGGTGATTTTTCACCTTGCCGCTATTTGTCTATACAATTAGGAGTAAAAGCCTAAATGACTCTATTTAGAAAGTGTGATAACACAACCGATATACTGCTTTTCCCATCCTGAGTGCTCATAAAAACTCCCAGTCTGGAGCTGTCATAAACTAATAAGAACTGCATGTGGAAGATTGGTATTTACAAAAAATAAATACCTAAGATTGCTTAGCAGTGTTCTTGAATTAATCCAAGAAACATCCATCAACAGAGTCCATAGTGCAACAGTTCACACTTGACCTAAAAAATTCATAACATTACTCAATATATTTTTAACAGGTTGAGAACATGAAAATTGAGGCAAAGTGACTGCCCTTTAGGGCACTTCTATGGTTTCTTTAAAGCTTATTTATATTGATTCTATGTGGTTTATTTTTATCATAAATGGCCAATGACCTTACAAAGCACCATAATAGAGCCCATAAACTAAAATCACCATTTTACGACACATCAGGAATTTAGCTGAAATAGTATCTAGGATTTTCACCTGGGGTATTTTCCAGTAAATACTGGAAATCAATAGATGAGAAGGAAGCAGGTATTAAAATACAAAATGATCATATGTTAAAGTAAGTGATATTGTATTTAATTTTATTCACATATTACATTTATTACGCGAGTTGCAACATAGTAATGACCAGAATTGTTGATACATGTCTTGCTAACATGTCTTTTGTTTTTCATGTGTAGTCATGTTTAAATTGCAAATGATTAGAATAATTTATTAAATTAGAAGGAATTAAATTATATGGGCCAATTGGACCAATAAACAGTTAAATGTTTCTGAGATAATACTTAGATCAGCCTAAGATGCTATCTTCTGTATTAACGCATTTCAGAGTGCAGGTACATGATACTGAGATCTGCAAAGATCTATTAATTTCAGTGAGATGGATTTTGATATTCCAAAAACATTTTAAAACTTGCAAATTGAACTTGTTTTTGCAATGCCTAACTGAATTACTGTTAGGCAATAATTGTAAGTAAGTACAGTATGCAGGCAATTGCTTTAGTTAAGAAATTTATACACTGCACATAAATGCTTATGGAGCACATTCTAAAAGAGCTCAAGAATTCTAAATAAGTGAGCTAAATAAATGTGACTTTTACTATCTCGTGTAGACATGGTTCCTGTTTAGAAGGGAAAGTTTTCTTTCATTCAAATTACACAGGAAATCCGTAAAAACAAAGCTTAGATATCATGTATTGTGTTCTATTTTTCCTTTGGAGATTGCAGTGTAAAATAACCTCCCACGCTTTGCTTTTAAATGAGATAGTCTGTTTTTATTGCGCATTGTTCTCAGGAAAGAAGGGACAGGATTCATCATTTGAATGTTGATATACCATACTTTGATGAGACACAGAAATAGCCTGTGCTTATACAATACACGAACAAGGATAAAAATAAAGCACAGCAAGGGACACAACAATCCAAAACAAAGTACTTTCACTCCATAAACTATTATGTCTCTTTAGATCCGGAATAAACCTGAAACATGCAATCACTTAGGTACAGTAACTTCCTTGTGTAGACCATTGCCTTTCACTCCCTGCCTCCCACTTCGAATTGCCTAACAAGAATGAAATTACTGGCATCTGACTTTTGGTTTTCTGGAGATTGAATGGTACACTTCAATCTGTGCAGTACCTTGAAATACAGCGATAGGACAGTCTTCACGTGGGTAACAAATTATCTGCTGGGTCCCACAGGCCCCTCTAGTCAGAGGACTCTTATCTCAGGCCGGTCAGACCACTTCATTGAAGGTCAGCTTCCTAGTGCAGCCAGTAAATCCCCTCCTGTTACTGGTCATTCAGTTCATGCTATCAAGCACCGGATGTGTGGTCTTTTTTTACGTAGTGGAAGGTTGTTCCAGTACATTAGCAAAATCTTTTTTTTTGCTTTTCTACAAGGTCCTGGTTACCCTTGTTGTACAACCATTGGAACAAAAAAGAAAATGCTGTGGAATGCACCAATGATAACTTCCTGTCTTCTGTCTTTCCCCTCACACATTAATGAAAGCACCACAGTTTTTATTTACTGTATATGCCCCTTCATGCTGGACATTCACAGATTTTTCTATCTGAACTTTCACAAGACCAAAGCTGTTCTGATTAGCTCTCCTGACACCTGAGTTGCAATATGTTCAGAACTCAAAGACTTGGATCTTAATTAAATACTGGAGCATACATACTGTACTGTATCTCTATTCCTGTTGTATGCAAGAGCTCCTATGAATTTCATTCGTTTAAAGAGTTTGAGATGTCATAAAAGGTTGTGCATAAAATAAAAACAACAATAATGATAATTATTATTAGTAACAGTATAATACTACAGTTTAATTAATGCAGGAATTTAAAGGAAATATTCTCACCATTACAATCAGTCAAACATAATGTATAAATACCAAAATATATGACACTGCAAATGTCAGAAGGTCAATAGCTGCAAATTTGTGTATTTCTTAATTCTTTTTTGAGTATTAAAGAGTTCTTGGCTAAAACTAACTTACAGTTTAATGTAACTTTTTTTCTTCCCACTCCGGACAAAAAATAAAACTACCACTTGTTAAGGAACACCTCACTGAGCACATTACTGCCCAGTGAAGTTCAGAACAGGCCAAGGTCTTAATAATAATTACAATTGCTTACACTTATATAGTGATTTTCTGGACACTCCACTCAAAGGGCATTACAGGTAATGGGGACCCCCTTCAATACCACCAATGTGCAGCCCCACCTGACAGATACGTGTCTTCACTGCTGTAATGCAATACGTTTGAACCAGAGCCCAGTAACTGTGATTAAGTCATCCAGTGAATCTCAATAATCGTACATTTTCCTGCCAGTACCTTGCAGATATTCTCCCTCATGTGTAGCAAAATAAAGATTTGTGCTGTGATGCCCTTGTAAAACTTGTCATAATGTCAACAGAACATCACGCATAAGAAGTAAAAATGTCAATAGTAAAAAAAATGGTCAATCATCAGGATGTTAGCTCTGTGGCTAAGGATCTGCACCTGTGGCTGGAAGGTTGCCGGTTTGTATCCTGTGGCCAGAG